TTAACGAAACGTTTTGATGCGAACAAACTAACAAACGGACCGACAAACTAACAAACGGATAAACTAACAAACTCACAGGCAGAATATAATGCGGTGCCCAAACTGAAGCAAATAACTGTCTTTCCGCATTACAGCTTATATTTACCGCCTAACTAAATGTAATTTGCATTAAAAACACAGAAAGTTCGAGGTTGTTGTGCGGAATCTAAATAAAAAGCGCAAAATGTTTTTATCAATCCTTTTTATACATCCTTAGATTAGTAGATTGGAATAGAAGCTTTAGGTTTTTAGTGCTGGACTTAGGAGATCAAAGCTATTTTCTGAGGGTCAGTTTGTCGTGATTTTAAGAAGGCCGTAAAACGAGTATCATTGCGTATTTTTTCCTCCCCCCGCATTTCTCTCAACATTCAAAATTTCGCTTGAATTTTGCACTTAAATGAATGAACAAGACTGAGAAAAAAGATCATGGTGCAAAGTTCTATATTCCGTGAGCTGTAATGTTTTAAATATGTGTAATTTTCAGTCGACGAAAAGTGCAAATTCAGCGAACACGGTCGCCTGGAGGTAAAGTGCTGTAAAAAAATTATTTTTATAAAAATTGAAAAACCAAAGTCAGTTTCATAACTTACTGGTATGTGCTATTTCACGGTAAAAGTTTGGGAGAAAACCATTTTCTGATCCGAAATGCAGTGGACCGCTTTTACAGAGACTGCCTCTTAAACCTTCAATTACACTGTAAGTGATTAAAGCTAGGGCACTGTGCCCTACTTTGTTATCTTACTCAGTCCAATGCCAGACGATTTTAATGTCATGGGGAAACTGCTGGCACTTGATTGCTTAATAATTTTAAGTCTATTGAACATAATTTTTATTATTTGTATATCAACCCCCTGATATTCTGTCATTCATTTTGCAGGTGTAATCATTCACAGATACCACAAGAAATATCACATTGGATCAAAATGCTGAACAGCCAAAGCAAAATCATACCTATCTGGCTACAAACTTATCTGGATATTTTAGCTCACTGCTCAAAAAATTAATTATTTCTAATAATTGATAATTACCTCGGGTCGGTACGACACCGAGGTCATAAATTCGGCTTCTATTTTTTTCCATTTTGTGTCGAGCCGCGCGCGTAGTCGAAGATAAGCTAGTAGCCGGTAAATAAGTGTACTTCCGGGAAATTTCAAGCATCGGCCAAAGCGAAACGGAACCCGAAGCTGTTCTTGTACAAAATCCGTCAAAATTGTTGATTTAAAACCAGAAGATGTGATAATTTTGACATACATGTAACTATTCTCGAGTATATGTTGATATAATGCACAATACTTCGTATGCATAGCATGCGAATACCGCGGCCAACTTTCACTTGTTTGATACTGCTAAGCATTTTATGAATCAGGTTTTTAACTGTAACTGGTGGACAACAATTTTGACAACTGTCCATTCATTGCATTCTTCGACTGTGGTACAACTATTACTAATGATGGATCAGTTACATGCACCTAATTATATTTTCGGTACTTTGATATATTTTTAAAATATCTGAAGTGACTGTCGTTCCGCTATGTGCAATCAACAAATAGACTGATATTGTCTGTTAGTGTTGCTAAATACAAGATGAAGTAGTGAAGTAGCTATGTATATCATTCACTCGTCCACAAACTACTCGTCCACAAAATATCCCAAATAATGAATAAATACAGCTAAATAATTGCGTCAGTAAATTCTCTAAATTGTTCCTGTATTTAACTACAGTCGAACCTCTATTAAGCGATCCTCCATTGAGCGGCCACCCTCTATTAAACGGCCACATATCGAAGTGCCAAAATTTTTGTAATACAAATACTACTAGAAAATACATGCATACAGAAACCCTCGCCTTGCTGACAAAACCACTGTATTTTCCGAACATGAAGTATCTAAAGTAGTTGTCATGGTAACACGATAATTTTTTAAGAATATTCTTACAAATGAAAAATCGCCTAAAAATATCACTTTTAATTACAAAATTAT